TGCCCCTTTCCCACTCTGCCAGCGACCTCCCCCCTAGTTAAATTTTAAGTACGTCACAATTACACCAATGAAATGGCTCTGAAGAAGAAAAATGTAATTGTTGTTTAACTGAAAGTTTTGATGAAGACAGACCTAAATGTGTGAATAATTACATTTTTACAACAAGTAACTAAAAATCCAAGCGGTTCACTAGGAGAAGCCTGAAACCGACATTTCTACTACGTGTCGTTCGCGCACGCTGCTTTCCTTCGTCCTGACCTTAGTTACTCTCATTTGGGTGGTTTATTTCGCGCAAGACACGCTGACGGAGACCATCGCAAACGAATTTATCTTTCGCCTGGACCGTAATAGAGCAGTGGCTCGGAATTTGTTGATTTGCGGTTTCATCGTAAAATAAGCTTGAAATCAAATAAATTTTCGTGAGAGTACTTCGAGGTCCACTTGGTGAAACCCCTCAATTACACAGTAGCTCCGTTTAACTTTTCCTCTGGAATCTCTTTAAATGACTTTTGCAGACCCACGTGCTGCAACGGAGACTTGAGCTGTGGCTGCGACCCTGCGCAGCGACTATAGGGACAGAATTTGGTTTTCCCCCTTGTTCTGATACGCGGGGTTTCGTTGCAAGACTGCCGTGATCCAGTGGGCTGACCAGTGACTTGTGCAAAAGACAACTAACTATTCGTTCGCTGTTGGCCCTTTAGCGTTTTCCTTGGCTGCAGAAACCCGGTTTTCCTATTATTATGTTTGAACTTTTGGGGGAGTCTGCTAGCATGGAGCGCTAACCCCGGCCGGCTCCTGCAGCAGCGAGGCGAACAAAGCCTGCACTGTTCCGGGCCACGCTGGGGCGGGCTGGTGGGCGAGCTAAAGGAATTGCAAATAAATATATTTTATGACCACCCATCAACAAACTACGTGCCACCGTGGCAGCCCCTAGTAGCCGGGCTGTGTTTGCAGTGTGGCCAGGAGCAGGGGCTGGGAGGGACGCGACGGGAGAGGGGCAGCGAGCGGCCAGCCCCGGGCCTGAACTTTCACCTCTCGAACCCGGGCCCAGCCGATTGGCTGCAGGCGACTGGTCCGCCGAGGGCAGCAGGTCCTGGCACGACCAGCTTTCTCTACTCCCTGGGCGTCTTCCTCACGGGGGGCTGGGTGGCCTGGGGAATGGCAGTAGGCGAAGGGGAGTGGGGGGCACCGGGGGCTGCGGGCTCGGCCCCGCTTAGGCGCCTGGCAAGGCTCCGCGGCCAATTCAGAAGACGAGCTCAGCAAACCGAGATGTCCTCCTGCACCTCTCGGCTATTTGTCTTCACAGGAAAGAAACATCAGAGGCTGCGAATTTCACCAAAACGTATTTGTGTGTACCTAGAAGTGAAAGGCTAAGTAAACCCGCTCCTCTCCAAGTCCTGAGAACGTCACCCTCTTTCTCCTCGTTGGGAACTTGAACTTCTCTTACAGGTGGCCCAGGCTCCTTTATAATAAACCTTCCCCGCTCGCTTTTTTCAGGACCCTTAAAGAGAAAGGGAAACACATGGGGTCCCTGTAAGCGGGGGAGGAAGAAGGGGAAAAGTGACTATCTGTAGACCTTTGAATTGTTCTGTTACCTTTATTCACAAACCCTGTGGAAAGAAAGGTACATCCTCGGCTCTCTGCGGGTTTCGACGCCGCTTGCTTTCCTCTTTTCCAAAAGAGTTTCAGGTTGATCCAGAGAATCCGTTTTTTATTTAGTTGTGCCAGGGAAGCATAAACACAAATTACTTAACGTAAACTTATCCCTACCTTTCAGAAAGGCCATTTGGGTCTGGCATTTTTTTTTTTAATTTTAAAGACTGCTCCCTCTCCCTCTCCCCGCTCCCATCTTAAAAATAAAATAAAATTGAGGTTATTTGTCCACTATTCAACCTGCATTTCGAAAAAGTTAATTTTATGAAGAGTGAGAATAATCCATAAGCAACTGACTGGAGTTTAGAAGCGCACAGAAAGCACCGCCATTCCGAGCCCAACTCTCCCTCGTCCTCGTCCGCCTGCCGGAGGCCGTCTTCCCCGGACCAGCCCGTGGCTGTGGACTTAATTGGTTTCCCTAGAAAACCTGACGGTGTGTTTACAGATGTGGGTGCCAGGGCTGCTTCCTCCCCGGGAAGAAGTGAGGGTTCTGCCGGGAAGCGTTGGTGCTAAGGTGTGTGTGTGTGAGCTCGCGTCTGCCCTTTAGAGAAAGGGCGCGTTGCTCTTTGAGGACAAGATTCAAAGGCACAAGTTAGTACAGCTCGCCAGTGTCCACAGTCTCGTCACCCTCACCCACCCCCACGTCTTCTGCTATCGGAGATGTTCAAGCCGGCGGGGAGGAAGCCGGGGGCCAGGCTCTGCTCACATCGGCCTCTCTGGGCTGCAGCTATCTGGAGGAAAGTTTCGGCGCCTTTCGGATCGCCACGCTTCGTGACGGATCTGCGAGCGGGGACTCCCGCAGCGGCGCGCTGGGGACGCCCCGGGTGGAGGGTCGCGCGGCCCGCGAGCAGGGGAGCGGCTGGCGGGAGATGGGGGGAAGGAATCACCCTCCTAGAGCTGGAGTGGGGAAAGGGCTGCCGAGGAAACCCCCACTCGGGTCACGCGTCCCATTCGGGCCCGTCTGGTCCTCCCTCGGCCTTCCCCCCTGTCATCCCCTCGGTCCCGCGTGGGCCCGTCGGCCGGGTCACATCCCACTGATAGGAGTGGGGACCCGAGTGCTGAAGGCTGGGCCCGCGCATCCCCCACTCTGGCACCTCGGCTTTGAAGTGAGCGCAGAGCGGGCTCTGGCCGTTTCTTCGTTCCTTTCATTCCGACTACTTTTGCTCCCCTCAGTCCCTGATAGGACCCGTCTCCAAAGCCCAGGACCCTAAAAAGTCGCAGATCGGCGGCCTCTTCCTGCCAAGCTCCGCCCCCGCCTGCCCGCGGTCCAGCCCCAAGCCGGTGGCCCGAGCTGCGTGTTCACGAGGAAGCCCAACAACTCCTGGGCCCAAGTGAGACAGGAGGCACGAACACAACGAAGAGTGCGAAAGACGCTCGGCCTCTTTCCGCCCAGGCAGCGGAGGCGCCCACTAGGAAAGGGAGGGCCAATCAGCGTTCTATCGCACGCCTGGGTCTCCCTTTCTGACTACCATGTACTTTAGCTCCCTGCCACCGAGGGCTTTGGATCCCTTCGAGGTTTTCTGCACTTCACGTGGAATCCCCCGTTTCATTTGCCAGCAGCTCCGTCTGCTGAGAGGACGTACTTTGGGAACTGCCAAGAAGCAGCAGACACAACTCGGCTTTGCCAATACAGCATACGGTTTTGTTCTCTCCTCCCTGCCCACCCCCTTCCTCTACTCGCCGTCTGGGCCGAGCAGGAGGAGGCGGAGCAGGAGGTGGGGAGAGAAGGGTGGGGGTGGGGGAAGCTCTGGGGCAGAACAAACAAGTTCTCGGGAGAGTTGTTTACATAGCAGGTGGACCTGACGTCAGCCAGGAGGCTCCTGTGCTGCAAATCCCTACAAGGTTCCTCTCCGCGTTCTCCCCTCCCTTGAAAAAGTTGGAGGATCGGGGGAGCTAGGTGGATGGGGGCGGCAGGGACCCTGACCGGCTGGTTCCAAACCACTTTTTTTTGGATCAACAACAACAAACGACAACGACAACGCAAAGTAAAACAAAAACAAACAATTGGCCCAGCCGTACTTTAGGATCCTGTAAGGGGTCCCTTCCCCCACCCCGCCCCTCCGAGGAGAGGCGGCCCCGCGCGCCGTGTGTGTACAGTTTGCATTGCCAACAACACGCGCGCGCGGCCGGGTGCGCGCACCCGCCAGCGCACACTGACACACACAGACACACACAGACAGACACACACAGATCCGGGTTGGGGGAGCGGCAGCGCGAGACAGCGCGAGCCTCCGAGAAAGCGCGAGACACGCCGGCGCGTGCAGCTCGGCTGCGGCGGTTACGCACCGGCTGGAGCCCCGCGCCCCCCGCAGCCCGCCGGCGAGCGCCAGTCCCGGTTATTTATGCCGCGGCCGCGTCCGCCGGCTGCGGCTCCCTCCGCCCCCCTCCCCCGGGCGCGCTCTCCACTCGCGGCAGCCGCTACCCGGTCTCGCGCGTGGGTGTGTTTGGTAGCTTTTGCCTCCGCGCCGCGGGTGCCACCTCCCTGGACGCTAACCAGGCGTCCCCGGTCCCGGTAAGTTTCCTCGCCCTCACTCTGGCGCGCCGTCCCCCCCCCGCACCCTACCCTGTCCCAGCCACCTCCACGCCGGCCGGGCTGCGACTTTGCTCCGCTCTCCTCCCGCAGCTGCGGCGGCAAACTTTCGCCCCAGCCTCAGCGCGCCGCGCGGCAGGGCGCGGTGACATGTGTCAAATTTCGGCTCGGCGTCTGGGTCTCGTTCCGAACCCCACATTACCACTTGTTGTTCTTTTCTTGTTTTGCTTTGTGATGGGGGAAGGGGGGAGTCGAGAGAGGAGAGACGGCTGTTGACTCACGGCTGATTTTTAGTTTTGAATATGCAAAATGTTGTCTGGTCCGGAGGGACCGCGGCTGGAGGAAATTGTGTGTCGAAACACCAGATGTGTTTGTTTACTCTTTTATTTTTATTGTTTGTTGTCTCTTCCTCTTCCTCCCCCACCCCCAGGAGAAACATCAGTAAAAACATCTGGTGGTTGGAAGCACATATTTTATTGATCCAACGGCTGACCTTTATTTACTCAGTTGGGCAAATGCACGCTTCTCGTCTCTGAGTTGGACACTTTAGTTACATTTGAGAAGTACTTCTCTGGGAATGCGAGGCGGAGAGGGGACACTCTTGTTTCTTGAGTGAAGAAACTCCTGGCCCCTAATGACGCTTCGGGATAATCGGGCATCT